CATCTCCTCGTCGTACTCGGCGGCGTAGCGGCGGATGAGGCTCTTGAGCGGGCTCGAGTCGCCGGTGGCGCCCGTGAGGAGGTCGGTCGGGTTGCCGTTGAGGCCAGCGGCGAGCGGGGCGCGCGCCTGGATGCCGTTCTCGACGCCCGACAGGAGCGCCGCCGTGGCCTGGATCGGGATAAAGTTGGCGTGGTTGTCAATGTCGTCGTCGTGGCGCTTGGCGTGGTGGCCGTGCTTCATCTCGTCGGCCTTGTGCTCATAGGCCTCCTGTCCAGTGGCAATGTTGTTCTCGACGCCCGAAAGCAGCGCCGCCGTGGCCTGGATCGGGATAAAGTTGGCCGAGTTCTCAATGTTGTCGCGCTTGCCCGTCTTGATGCCGTTCTCGACCTCGGAAAGGAGCGCAGCCGTGGCCTGGATCGGCACAAAGTTGGCAGAATTCTTGAGGTCGCGCTTCTCCTCGCCGCCCGTGGCGATGCCGTTGGCAACACCGGAAAGACCGGCAATGGTGCCCTGGATCGGGACAAAGTTGGCCGAGTTCTCGATGCCACGCTTCTCGGCACCGGTGGCGATGCCGTTGGCAACGCCCGAGAGGCCAGCAATAGTGCCCTGGATGGGGATGAAGTTGGCAGAGTTCTCGATGCCGCGCTTCTCGGCACCGGTGGCGATGCCGTTGGCAACGCCCGAGAGGCCAGCAATGGTGCCCTGGATGGGGACAAAGTTGGCCGAGTTCTCAATGCCGCGCTTGCCCGTCTTGACGCCGTTGACGACGCCCGACAGACCGGCCAGGGTGGCCTCGACAGGGATAAAGTTGGCCGAGTTCTCGATGCCGCGCGACTCGACGCCGCTGGCAAAGGCCGTGGGGAAGGCAGAAGCCGCCGCAGCGACAGCAAGGAAGTGGAGGTACTGCGGGCGGGCGGGGAAGGTGGCAGGGAGAGGGGAGGAATGGAAGTGGGTCAGCGGGCCGTGATGGAGCCTTCGCGGGGTGCGGACGCGCCTCAACTAACCTGCATTGTGAAGGTTGTTGGAGTAGGGGACGGGATCAAAGAGAGTGTGTGTCGTTCAAGAGTCGAGGGGCCGAAACCGGGAGAGAGGGGAAGTTGGGAGAGAGGGGGAGTGGTTGACGTGAAAGGGTGGAGATGGAGGGAAGGAGAATGGGAAAGAGCTTCGGACGACGAGGTCTTATACTCTGGCCAGGTAAACACACCGAGGGAGGGCGAGAGGCCCAGAGTGGCTTGCCGCTGCCTGGTGCCCGAATGGGCAGTAGGTGCGTCGATGAGCGCTGAAACATGCCTGGCCCTGCCGCAGCCCTTTCCGGGCGAACGTGTTGTGATGAGGCGACAATGGGAGAATGGGCGAGGTACGGGGCCACAGCAAGAGCCTCTGACCAGTTTGGGTAGGCGGGTTACTGACGGTCGGCAGGGGGGGATGACAGACTATTGTCTGGGATCGGACGGTGAGGTCGATCAAGCACGGTACCAGAGGAAACCTTGTTTGTGCCAGGAGCGGTGGGCCAGCTTCGGCCGTGATGGTCGCCCCTTGCCTGACCCTGGACCTGGCATGACCTGTCAAGCTTGCTTTCCGATGCGCATGCCAGAGGGATCGACGTTCGGCAGCACCAAACGCGGCAGCGCAGCGTACATACAGCAGCGCAGCGCACCTGGCATCCCCTCGGGAGCGGGCACCTTGCTTGCCTGCCTGCCTGCCTGCCTGCCTGCTCTCCCGACCTACCTGGCCGGTACATGCTGTACGGTGCAATTGTCGGCGACTGAACGGATCGCTGCGGGTGGCGTCGTCGAGTGGATCCGGACAGAAGCGAGCTGCAGACTCGAGCTTCCATTCAGCATTGTACGTACCCACACCAGAGCTACCGGTAGCTACGGCACCCCTTTTGCCCATCGACTACCGTGGCCAACGTACGAAGCTTGGTTGGCTGTATCCTGTCGCGCGAGCGCCGCGAGCGGAGCAGCGGCTGCAACCTGCGGAGCCAGAGGCGTGGGACGCGCAGACCGCTGCTTGGCTGGCGTACCAGTGTGCAGACGGCGCAAGAGGACGTCGGGTTCTACCGGCGCAGAAGGACGAGGGACGCCGCCAGCAAGGTCGAATGCGAGCTTCGAGGCACGGTACGGTAGCTTACCTAGCTTAGCCAACTTCGACGCACGCGCATGGCCGTGCTGGCTTGCCTGCCGTCCTGGCTGCCTCGTCCAAGACCGGCGCCCCGGGAGTGAACCCGCGCAAAGGAGAAAGGGGCAGGGAGGCAAAGGGGGACGAGACCCGGCGGGACGGTCCGCGAATTGAGGCGCGGGCTTGTGCTCTGCAGGGAGGCCTTCGAGGGGCGGAGAGTTTAGCCTGGAGGTCGAGGTGAGGGGGACGAGTAGGGAGGATGACCGTCGGGTCTAGACGCCGAGTCGATTCCGACATCGCAGAGCAGAACAGAGCGGAGCAGAGCAAAGCAGGACAGGGCAGGGGATGCACGTCCGTATCGTATCGTGACGTCGTCGTGGCATTCTTCTCCCGTACCATGACACGTTTCGACTGCCTTGTGGGCTGGCGCGGGCAAATTGGCGCAAAGCTGCTGCAGCCGTACCGTACCGTGCCGTGCCGGCTACCGCGCTGTTGCTGCAGAGTGCTGTGCTACTCTAAGCGGGGTAGATCCGCTGAAACGATGCTGACGGTGCGGTGCCGGCGGTCAAGATGGTCGAGGGGAAGGGCGGTGCAGAGGGAGGCAGGAATGATGCTGGCGTGGCACGGCCTGCAATGCCCTGGCTCTGCCTGCAAGGGCGTTAGGGGCCCGTCACCGGGGAGATCCTCGCGAAGGGGTGAGGAGGGGGGGCAAAAGGGCGGAGGATGCGCGACCCATCCGACGATGCACGTCGAAAAGCGCCGGATGCCAGGCAAGCGGCAGGCGGCTAGGGCCGCCTCCGCGCGTCGATTCGGCAGTCGAGCCGAGGGTCCCTCCCTCCCTGCCAGCAGGCCTGCCTAGGCCTCATCCTATTTCCGTTCGGCATGGGCGCACTCCGATCCTCTTCGCTCTTCCCTCTTGGCGCTTCGTACCGGTCCACCGTCCTTCGCTCGACGCCCAAGAGGATCGCCCCCTCTCTACAGAAAGATGAAGAGTCGAAGATGTGGCGATAAGAGGGTTACAGCCGCGGTCCCGACGAATGAAAGATCCCGGACCTGCTCGTATGGCGCGCCCGTCAGCCATCGTTTTGGCGCGCTCGATCGCACTTCAATTCCTGTACGATCAACGCTCTACCCTGTCATCCCCACCAGCCTCTACCTACAGCTGTGTAAGCATATGTCGCAGGTTCCACTTCGTTGCTGAATCCCTTCGGTGCGCGGCGCAAGGGGACGAGGGAGGGGCTCCAAGGGGGAGGGGAGAAGCCGGAAGCGAGTGCAGCCAAGCCAAGCCAGGCCAGGCGATGCACGCGCCTCAAAGGTGGAAGAAATGCTCCTTGCATTCCCGTCCCGTCCCCTCCTTCCCTTTCCCTTTTCAGATCACGGCCTGCCCTGCCCTGCCCTGCCCTGCCCTGCCCTGCCCTGCCCTGCCCGTCGCTCTGTCAGGCTCGACGCAGATGAGTCGACATGACATGATATGGCCGGATCGACGATCAACGACGCCGCGCCGCCAGGATCCAAACCCTCCTCACACCCTCCTGCCTTTCCACGTGATTTGACACAAACAAAGGCGCGCGCACTGGGGCTCAGCTGGCTTCGGGTTGCTGCCTTCGCCCCCCAGTGGCGGCCAGGCATGATGTCGACCTCAGCCTCGCTCTGAACAGTCGAACCTCAGTCTGACGCAAGAGGCGCTGTCGTCTGCGCGTCCGAGGGAGAGTCATGGAAGGGAAGGCGTCGCGAACTCGCCAGTCTTACCAGAAAGTCAGGGCTGCTTTGTCCAGAAAAGGAGGCGCAAATTCACGACGAAAATGGCTCCCCTGCCCCTTCACAGGCCACGGCAAGTGCCACACTTCTTGCGATGCACAAGACCTTACAGGCTTTCGCAGACAATGAGTGTGATTTCAGCCGCCCGATTACAGACGACGGACAGAGGAGGATACAGCGCCGAGGCCGCCGGCGATGCAGGAAGGAGAAGAAGGGAAGGGAGAATAAAGGAGAGCGACAGACAGAGGGGCACCGCAGCCATACCGAGGCCCTGGCTTCACCTTCGTAACCCCCCGCCCCGAGCCCACGGCGCCACCTCTCCGCCTACCCGCTGCGGGTCTTGAACGAAACGGCGGCGCTGGGCGACTTTTCCACGCAGTAGGGACCCGCCTGAGTCCTGAACGCCCTCTCGTCCAGGTTCCTCGGGATCCAACCCTGCTCGACGGCCGCCTGGTAGCTCCACGCCGCCGTGCTCTCGCCCTTCCAGCTCCAAAAGATCCACCCGCTGCCGCTGCCCTCGAACGTCTGCGTCTGCGCCTCCCAGAACCTGCGCGCAAACAGGTTCTGCGAGTCGGTGTTGAGCGTCGCGACGTCGTCCTTGATGCTGCGGCCAGCGCAGCTCTGGTACGGCACGCAGCGCGTCTCGATCCCCAGCGCAAACTCGCCCACCACGACCGGGTGGATGGAGCGCGTGTGGCTCAGCGGCGCGCCGAGCGAGCAGGCGTGCTTGATGTGGCCGCTGGGCGACAGCTCCTTGAGCGGCGACCACGCCTGGTAGCTGTGCGTGTCGATGGCGTAGCTGCCCGTCTTGTACCAGCTCTTGTCCCAGAAAAAGTCATCCCACGTCGAGAGGTCGAGGAAGGCATCGCTAAAGAGGATCGTCGGCACCAGCGGCGCACGCTTTGGGTCGATCTGATTGCGGATGGCGGCGTAGCTCTTGCGGTAAAACTCCTGGAGGAAGTCGAGCGGCACCGCGCCGCCGCCCACCTTTGGCTCGTTGACCACCTCGATCGCCTTGACCACGCCGCGGTACGACGGGTCGTTGACGTAGAGCTCCGTCATGCGCATGAGGGCCAGGATGGCGAGGTCCATGTTGTCCTTGCTGTCGCCGAAGCCGATGCGCCCGGCGCGGCCGCTGTTGTCGTAGCCGTTCTGGGAGCCGGGGACGCCGTGCAGGTCGAGGACGACGTCGAGGTTGTTGTCCCTCGCCCAGCCGAGCGCCTTGGCGATGAAGGGCTGCTGCAGGCCGGTCAGGTAGGGCTCCTTGGCGTTGGGCACAAACGCCCAGTAGGGGACGGGCAGCCGGACGGTGTTGAGGCCGTACTCGGCCATGCGCTTGAAGTCGGTGGCGTTGAGCCAGTTGGCGTAGTGCGTCTGCAGGCGCTTTCGGGTGGCCGTCGTGTTGCCGAGCGTCTTTGACCAGGTCCACTCGTCGGGTATGCTCTTGTCCTTGAGGTCCGGCGTGAGGAAGAGCGAGGGCGTCTGCCAGTTTTCCAGGATCAGCCAGCCGCCGATGTTGACGCCGCGCACCGGCTTGGGCCCGTGGCCCCAGCGGGCGTGCTTCATCTTGGAAAGGTCCTGGATCGTGGTGCCGCCGCGCGCCTGCACCTCCTGGGCCATCTGGCTGGTGAGGCCATCATCGCCATCCTTGGTAGGCCGAGCAGAGGCTGTATGCGGCGAGAGGAGGGCCAGCGTGAGGACAACGAGGACGCCCATCAAGAGCGCGACCGCCCTGCGAGGCTTGATTCCAGGCCCGTGAGCCATGCTTGCGAGAGGGCCTGCAGGTCCGAGGGAGTGTAAGGAGCGAAGCAGAGGAGTAGAACCGCCTGGGTTCTTGATAGAGTCCTCTTTGAGTCGATCGAGGTAAGATGAAGGAAGAAGAAGAGCAACGAGGACGATGGAAGATAAGTGGCGAAGAAAGGACCCGACTGTTCCGCCAGGGGGCAGTACTAGATATCCTCCGGTCAACGGAGGCGCTGCGGAGACTCGAAGTGAAGCAGCAAAGGTGCAGAGAAGCCGAGCAGCTGAGCTGCTGATCAGAAGCGCGGGCGGGAGAAGGCCAGAGGGTTGGCTGGCTCGTCGCTGTCGCTGTCGCTCGCTGTTGTTGTCGCTGTCAAGCGTGCCAGCACGGAGAGGATCGACCGGCGATCCCAGAGAAGCAGAAGAAGCCGGGGTGGAAGAAGCGAAAGAGACGCCGAGGAGCGAATCAGAAGGGACCGGAGCGGGAAGTGAAAACAAGGTTGTGGTAGATGGGAAACCATGGAGGAGGAGGGGCAGCAAGGGTGTCCTGCAACGGAGGGCGAGGGAGGGGCAGCGCAGCGCAGCGCCGAGGCATCAGGCGGCGGAGGGGAAGAAGCGCTCGCTCGCTCGGGATGCCAAGAAGCAGGCAAGGCAAGACTGGTCGGCCAAAGCAAGCATAAGGCCAGCTGCTGCTGCTGCTGCTGCTGCTGCTGCGGCCTGCAAGCTCGCTCACACGCTTCCCTGCTCCGCCAACTCTCGGTTTGGAGGAAGGTTTGGCCAACCTTGCGCGTCTCAGCTGGACAAATACCAGGAAGCGTGGGAGGCAGACGAGCAAGCAAGCAAGCAAGCGTGCAGCAAGCTAGCTGTGCTTTGCCTGGTGGCGAGCGTGGCATCGTGTACATGGCGGCGCATACAGGAGGTCAGCCTGGCCTGCCAACTCGTCGATGCACACAGTGCGTACATAGGTGAACGGCTGGCCAGCATGGAGCGGCCAGCTGCTTTCGGATCAACGCCGAGTCTTAGCGTTGGCCGCTCGGCTTCCGCTCCGGAGGCGAGCCCGAGGCCAAGCCCCCGCTGTCGCCCTGCGCCCCCGCCCTTCAGCGATCCATGAGCATTGAGGCCCGTCGACGAGCAAGAGAAGCAGGCTGTTGGTCGACGCTAAGAATGCCGTGTCGATGACGAGTGAGGCTGGACGAGAGAGAATACAATCGAAAGAGGGCTTGCCGCGGTGGATGCGGTAGAAGGTCAACAAACCAGCCAGCTGTGCAGGCAGGCAGGAAGAGACCGGGGGGAAGGCTGCAAGCAAGAGACGCGTCCATCGAAACTGGCGCCCGACGGGGCCAGGGCAGGCCAGGCGTCCGGGGTCGGCGGCGGCTCGGGTCGGCCCGCCCGGCCTGCCTCTCGGCGGCGCGACGCTCGGTCAGTCGGGGCTTTCCCTCTTGGCTGTCTGTCGAGCAGGGTGCTGCTGCTGCACCTCGCTCGGCGTTGATCCGTGAGCCAACAAGCAAGCGGCGGCTTCCTTCCGGACTCGACTCGGAGGCACAGCACAGCACCGCTTCCACGCCCGCGTTTCAGCCCAGCCCGTCGCTCAGCTGCCCTCAACGCAGCCGCCGTCGACAAGCAAAGGCAAGGCGAGATCGCGGTGGTGGGGGCCTCGTGCGGTCCTCGGCGTCTGTCTCCGCTACGTCGCGCGTGGTTCGATCAGCTGGCCTCTCGATCGGGGCGTCGACGAAGAGAGAACGCCGTCTGCCCCTGCCCTCTGCTGAGACCTTCCCTAGACAGGACAAAGGATTGCACCGACATCGTTTGTATTGGTGGGCCCGTCGTAGATGCTGCTTCACCACTCCTCGTCAATGGCACAGGTGCGGTGCAAGCCACCTCGACGCAGGCTTGCTTGCTTGCATCCAAAGACAAGACAAGACTGGCAAGAGGTGACTTTGCAACGCCACAAAGGCCAGACCACGCCAGGCTAGGCCAGGCTGACGCCTCGCCTCGTCTCGCCTCGAGCGATTCCCACGCAGCGGATCGATACCGACGCCCCCGTCGACGCCGTCAACGTTTGCTCCTGGTTTGCTTGCGTGCGTCTTCCTACAGTACGCGGCGAACCGCAGGCCTTCCCTCGCCCCCGTCTCTCGTCCGCGCCGTGCGCCACGCCACGCCAAGCCGAGTCCGGCACAGGCAAGCAAAGAGCGCAGGCCAACGTCTTCTTCGGTACGGTGTCGCGGTTTTTTCTTCGTTTCTGTTTCTCTCTGCCGCATTCCTTTTTGGGGGAAGGAGGGGTAGGGGGGATAGGTGGGAGGGGGGGAACAACTGCAGCGAGGGGCGAGGGAGACGTAGTGGGTGGGCATCGAACGCCGTCTCCCCCCCGCAACGACGAGGGACAAGAGCCGAGGGCTTGTATAGAGAGGCAGGCAAAGTCAGGGGACCGAGGAGGGTCGCAGCTATCAAGAAACCAGAGGCAAACAAAGAACCTAGAGCGGGGTGGATCACGACAGACACGGGCAGCGACAGCAGCGGCGAGGAGCGAGCGAGCGGATGAGAGGCCTGATGCCTCGCGCAGCCCGCCAGCTTCCCGCCGGCGCTCAGGCTACACGCGCTTAGCGACCACCGAAGGCCTTCTGCATGGATCGCTTGAGGCGGAGCGAGGCGCGGCGGAAGTCGTCGGCCGAGGCGTCCTGGACCTCGAGGACCTCGAGGGCCTTGGCGAGCTCCTGCTCGACCTGGATCTTTGCTGGTCGCTTGATGTTGGCGGCCGGGCTCGAGATCGTCTCCTCGACGCTGTGGCAGTACGCCTCGAGGTCGTTCTTGGCGTCGTGGCGGGCGGTGAAGTCCTTGTCGGCCTTGGAGAAAGTCTCGGCGTCCTTGATCATCTGCTCGATCTCGGTCGAGCTGAGGCGGCCGACCGAGTTGGTGATGGTGATGTTGGCCTTGCGGCCGGTGATCTTCTCCTGGGCGCTGACCTTGAGCAGGCCGTTGGCGTCGATCTCGAACGTGGTCAGCAGCTCGGCCTGGCCGCGGGGCTGCGGGGGGATGCCCGTCAGCTCAAACTCGCCGAGCAGGCGGTTGTCCTTGCACTGGGTGCGCTCGCCCTCGTAGACGGGGAACGTGACCTGGGTCTGGTTGTCCTCGACCGTGGTGAAGACGCGGGTCTTGTTGCACGGGATCGGGGTGTTGCGCGGGACAACGACACCGAAGACGTCGCCCTGCATGGCGACACCGAGCGAGAGGGGAGCAACGTCGAGCAGCAGCAGGTCGGCGGTCTTGTCCGACGTCTGGCCAGTCAGGACGGCGGCCTGGACGGCGGCACCGTAGGCGACGGCCTCGTCGGGGTTGATGCTCTTGTTGAGCTGGCGGCCACCGAAGAACTCGGAGATGAGCGACTGGATCTTGGGGATACGGGTGGAGCCACCGACGAGGACAATGTCGTCGACCTTGTCGGCGGGGATCTTGGAGTCCTTGAGGACCTTGGCGACGGGGTCAATGGTGCCCTTGAAGGCGGCGGCGTTGATCTCCTCGAAACGGGCACGGGTGATGTTGGCCGAGAAGTCGACGCCCTGGAAGAGCGAGTCGACCTCGACGGTGGTCTGGGTGACCGACGAGAGGGTGCGCTTGGCACGCTCGCACGCCGAGCGGAGACGGCGGACGGCACGGGCATCGCCCGAGATGTCGAGCTTGTTCTTGCGCTCGAACTCCTTCTTGAAGTGGTCGAGGAGCGCGTTGTCGAAGTCCTCACCACCAAGGTGGGTGTCACCGGCGGTGGCCTTGACGGCGAAGACGCCGCCAGTGATGTTGAGGAGCGAGACATCGAAAGTTCCTCCACCAAGGTCGTAGATGAGGACGTTCTTCTCGGTCGCGCTCTTCGAGTCGAGGCCGTAGGCGATGGCAGCGGCGGTGGGCTCGTTGATGATACGGAGAACGTCAAGGCCAGCGATGGAACCTGAAGGCGAGCAGAGGCGCCATGACGAAGAGAGAGGGAAGAGCGAAGCGTGTGAGCGACGTGGGATCCTGAGAGTGGAGACAGATGGAAACCTCGACGACGAGCGACGACGCTGCAATGCCGATTGTAGCCATCCCGATGCCCCGCCTTCGACGCTTCCCATCCTCCGTCCACCTTCCAACCTCGCCCTGCGCCGCTCCGCTTCGCCCGGCCCGGCGCTGACGCCGCGCCAGGAGAAGAGAAGCGCCGCCAGGTCGTGCGCTCATACGGCCGTTCTTAGTAAAAATTCTTGCTATCCGCATAGCTGACGCCTCGGAATTAGCATGGAATATAGAAAATAATCTTTGCGCTGGTGCGACCTGCCCGCGGTCGCCGTCATCGTCGTTGTCGTCGCGATGGCCGCGTGTGGCCGGATGTCGATCTCCCTCTCTGCATCCTCCCGGGCAAGCAGCTGCATCGTCGTCGTCGTCGTCGTCGTCGCTGGCGTTCGACGCGTGGAACTCACCGGCATCCTTGGTGGCGAGCCTCTGCGAGTCGTTGAAGTAGGCGGGGACGGTGACGACGGCCTTCTTGACCTCCTTGCCGATCTTGGCCTCGGCGATCTCCTTCATCTTGACGAGGACCATCGACGAGATCTCCTGGGGGGAGAACTGCTTGGTCTCGCCGAGGTACGAGACCTCGATGAAGGGGGAGCCGTCCTTGTCGACGACGGTGAAGGGCCAGTGAGTCATGTCCTTCTTGACGTCCGGGTCGTCGAAACGGCGACCGATAAGACGCTTGGCGTCGAAGACTGCAGAGTAAGGGGCGAGGCGAAGGGAGAGGCGGTAAGGCGCGCGGGAGTCAATTGCGTGCGCCTCGGCACGAGCTTTGCTAGAGCCAACACCGCCGACTGGCGCTACTCACCGGTCTGGCGGGGGTTCATGGCGGCCTGGTTCTTGGCGGCATCGCCGATGAGACGCTCGCTCTCGGTGAAAGCGACGTACGAGGGGGTGGTGCGGTTACCCTGGTCGTTGGCGATGATCTCAACGCGCTCGTTGACCCACCAGCCGACGCAGGAGTAGGTGGTACCAAGGTCTGCAGAGGGGACGATCGGCGAGGGACGGAATGGTCAAGAGCGGGTCTTGTCAGCGCTGCTGCTGCCAGAGGAAAAGCATGGGAAACGAGGTGCCAGGGCTGCGAACGTCCACCGCCCGCCTGCCATGCTCCTTGACCTTGACAGAGCAAGAGCAGATGACGCGTTGTCGAAAGGCGAGGCTCGACTCCATTGAGCGCGGTGGCAAGCGAGCGCAGGAGAGCCTCCTCGGAGGGCGATGCAGGCGAGCGTGCTTCTGTCGCCCTCTCCCTGCTCGCATGCCACCGCTTCAATGGCAAGATGGGAGCCTGCGCTCCGGCGAGCGTGGGCCTACGCTTGCTGACTGTGTAGCCAGGAGCTCCAGGCGGCGGTTCGGTGCGGGGAGCCGCTCGCTGCCGTGGTGGTGGCGGGTGACATGCTACATGATACGCACCGATGCCAATGGCACCCTGGTAGACGGTGTCGTCGACGGGAGTAGCGGGGACCTCGTTGGACATGGTGACGAGACTGTGTGTGGGGTGAAGGGGGGGATGAGGGAGGGATGGACGGTGGTGAGGGGGGGAGAAGGTGCAAACAGAAGAAACGAGAGGGAAGGAGCCCGTCGGACGCCGCCTGGCCTGGCTGCCTCGTCTCTCTCTGGTCGCGGGCCAGCAGGTCAGAAGGCCCAGCCAGCCCCAGGCGAGGAGCGAGAGGCGGGCGAGGGCGAGGGGCGAGGGCCGAAACTCGACACAGAGGCAAACCGCGGGCTTCGAGGAATCGCAGCCAAGCGGGCGGGCGGAGCCAGACAGACAGAGAGAAAAAAAATTCTTCGCACAGCCAGCCAGCAGGCAGGCAGGCCAGCAGCACGCTCGGCGCGATCAGGCAGGCGACCGTCGTGGGGGGGGTGGGCCTGGCCTGCTCTCTCTCTGATCTCTCGTCTCCCCGGCGTCGATGCTCTCATCGTCGTCGCTGCTGCTGCTGCTGCCCTGCTCTGGCTCAACGGGCATACACTTCCAGCGCTTTTCGCATCGTCCTCTCTCCTTCGCTGTCTCGTTGGCCTCGGCCAGCCGCCACGGCTGGTGTCTGTGCCGTGTGGGTGTGGCAAGTCGACCTCGGGTCTCAGATAGAGAGGGGCCGAGCGCTGGGGCCAGGCAGGCGGCCGGGCAGCGACGAAATTTTCTTCTGGAGACGGCCGTTGGCCTGCCCTGCTGGCTTGCCCTCTGGGCGGCTGATCACCTCTGCCAGGCTTGCTGGCTGCGGCATAGGACATACGCTCTCGCGACCGAGCTCGTCGATCCTCTCTCGTGCGATTCAGGTGCCAGATTGAATGGCGCGCTACTCGGCTCCGAGAGTGGGAAGCTTCCGACTCCGGAAGAAAGCGAAAAAGGCTGAGAGGGAGCAGGTCAGCAGCATGCGACCCTTGGGCCCGCTGCTCTGGGGCCTCGTGCCTCATGCCTCGTCTCCACCGGACACCGCACCTTTCACTCGCCGCCATCATCATCATCATCATCATCATCGTCTCCAGCATCGCCGACCCCGCCAGCCCGCCTCGTGCAAATAGTACCACGTCGACGACACCACCTGCTCGGCCGCCGATACTGACCCGCC